TTCTAGCATCTCTGAACCCCGAGTTATGAATTTACGCGGGAAAAATTTTGGGGGGCCCGTACGCGGCTACCACGCTTAGCCGGGGCTGGATTTGAGCTCATTAGCACCTGCTTGGACGGGGAACATTCTCATAAAATTTCAGCTTTCTAGCATCTCAGAACCCCGAGTTATGAATTTGCGCGGGAATAGTTTTGGGAGGCCCGTACGCGGGTACTACGCTTACCCGGGGGCCGGATTTGCGCTCACTAGTACCTACTTGGACGGGGAACATTCGCATAAAATTTCAGCCCTCTAGCTTTTGTGGTTCGCGAGTTAGCAGCTTACCCGTAAAAAACTTTGGCGAGGTCTTAGGGGGGTACCACGCGGGAAAGACACGTAAAAAACTTTGGCGGGGTTTTACGTGGATACCACGCGGGAAAGACCGCCCATTTTGGGGATAGGAGCCCGTACGTGCATGCAGATTAAGTCCCCAAAGTTTCAGCCCCGTAGCTTTTGCCGGTCTCGAGATGAAAAATTGGTACAGACGCGCAGCGCACACACAGACACACACACACACACACACAAACATACACACACAGACACATACACACGGACAACCTCCCGTCAATATGCGTTTTTCGCATTGCATTGCTGCAAAAAACGCATAAAAACTACCACCTCCCAGCCACGTCCAACCCCTTTACCTACCAGCCCCAACCAAGCCATCCAGCCACCGAACGCTGGGTAGCGCTACACAGAGCTCGTTGGCAAGGTGTCAAGTAATGCTGGCAAGTGACGCTGACTAAATAGCGTCAGCAGAGAAGCCAGAGCGTCTTTAAGTGAGGACCGAGCCAAACGAGTTTTAGTAATTCCCAAAAGTTGCTGTTTGCATAGATATACAACCATTCTGAAAATTGTCCGAGTTTTTCAGTTATTTTTGTTAAAAAGACACAAGTAAGATTTGAAATGCAAATTATCTGGGTGCTCATTTTGCGCAGGGACAATGACTGTGTGACGTATATTGATGGCGTTACGAAAAAAAATTCGTGCCAGTTCCTCGACAATGAAAATTTTACAGTGATCTCCATCTTCCCGAACATCGGTACCACTACATTTCTTTTATTTGTTAAAATAATCCGCGCAGTTGGAGCCAGCGAGTGTAGGGTGCGACAGAAATACTTGTGTAGAGATAACTGATAATTGAGAGTATGCAGTGCAGGGAAGGCGCATACTTTGAAACCAGTGATTTGAGCGACCTAAAGTAGCCGTTTGAGCTCCCCGTGTGCCGTGCTGCTAATCCAGTGCTATGCTTTTTGGAGCGAAGATTAATCAAATGCTGGTATGATGCAATCGTACAGTAGAATCTGTGAAGTGCGCTCGGAAGTAGCACTGTAAATTCAGCATAATCGACCACATTGCTCTGAAATATTTTGAAAGTTTCAGTTCCCGCTTTAAGAATTGCTTTCCTTTTCCGATATTTTGTTCATTCGTTATGTAACTTCTAAACTGATCTCCCCTGACTTAGTTTTTACTTACAGATCAATATGACACTTTGGATTTGGCTCGAATTGTAGTGCCGAAACCATTTGTAAATGGTATGTAAAAATTCACGTCAAATTAATCCTGAAAACTTAAACTGAATATTAAAATATCTGTAGTTTAGATTTGATCTTCGTTTGGTGTCACTGACAGCAGCATATTTCCTGATTTTGAGAAAAAAATTTTAATAGTGAGGGAGGCAATTATTGTGCAGGCCTAAATTATGTGCGGAAATAAGAGCTAGAAGGAAGAGCAATGCTACTATAAGTAAAACTCTAAAACGGCAAATTTTTGTAAAATCGTCTAAGTGAGCCAGCAACGCAAAGTGACTGGACCGAACAGCGGGGAAGGGATGGGATGCGGAAATGGATGGCTGAAAAAAACGCAGGGAAAATAGAAAGGAGTGACAGACAAATTCGTCTGTGGTAAGAAGATAAAACTGCAAAAAATCTAATTAAAAACCCTTTTTTGCACAGTTCCCCCGCAGGTTTTTTTCGCCAGTGGGACGCTCTTCCTGGCAGATGCTTCTAGCTAAAAGAATTGTGACTGGCCATCACGACTATTAGAAATTATTTCAATGACTCCCAATCCGTGCCCAAAAAATTCAGCGCTCTGGATGCTTCGGTTGCGGAGTTACGCCGAATTCCACGTGTTCGCACGTGAGTAGCAGCGTGAGTGTTTTCTTCGCTTGGAGTTACTTAAAGACGGCCCTACGTAGTGCTCAAAAATTTTCAGTACTCAAGGTGCTCTGGTTGCAGAGTTACGTCAAATTTCACGTGTTCGTGCGTGAGTGGTAAAGTGAGTGCTTTCTTCGCTTGGGGTTACTCAAACATGGCCCTGGATAACGCTCAGAAAGTTTCAGCACTCAGTCTGCTCTGGTTGCGGAGTTACGTCAAATTTCACGTGTGCACACGTGTTCGTACATGAGATGCAGAACAGCTGACAAGTACTTTACTTTCACGGACAGAACAGTGGGCAACAAGTAACGCT